ATTATATTGTCATTATTATTATATTATTATGTTATGTTATTATAGCTCATATATTATTATAACTTGGTCTACAACTCACCTACGAAGTGCTGCTCTCATCACTTGGGAAGTCATGAAATTGATGGTAGCCACTTTCTTCATTTACGCTACTAGCCGTCGAACGCTAGTGTTTTTAAATGTCGTCCAACCGTAGTAGATTGATTCCAATTTCAATGAGGTTGTTATTGTTATCACTATTCAACTCAAAAACTCTAATCTGTTTAAGATCCTGTCAGTGCCAGGCGACAGTAACCTTTCCTTCTTCAATCTAAACTAGTCCCGTTCAGAACTATTATCAGTTCTTTCGTTGTTATCTTTTCCAGGTGGTCAATTATTTGGGTGGTCAGTCAAATTCAATGGTGTAGACCAGTCTCCAGATGCCGCTTACACAGCCATGGGATCCCAACGTTTTACCACGTCTTTCGCTCGCTAGGAAGTTTCACTCCGTGTCCCTCAAATAGGGAAATTCGCTACTGTACAGCTGCTTTTATTCCCTTTTTGATCGTGTACAATATGTTCAAATGAATTCATCTTATCTGAATTTTTGCTAATACTAAACGAGGGCCAGTGTCGCTGCTGATTGATTGATTATTGTCGTGTTAGCGAGCCACGGAAATGATTTTTTCTTTCGGGATATAGAAAAGACAAGACATTCGCCGGACAGGAAAGCCAGAAGAGCCAAAAGAACCATTAACACTATGGGGGGACACGATCTAGCCGGCCTAATTTGAATACCTCAGTATGGTTGCTTTTGATTACACAATGGCTGGAGCTTCAAACTTGAGTGAGATGGGTTCCAAATTTAAGAGAACAAAGCAGGGGGACAGATGGTAGATCAGATGATTGTCTCTTCTGGTGATGCAGCCTTAAAGCGAAGCAAGTAGGGTAAATGAAACGTGGAGACCCCACCTCGAACGTAAAGGTGACAGGGAAATCGAGCCGGGTCATAGGTTGGAGACGGGAAACTAATCTTCCGAAACGCGAATTTAGTGTAACCAGGTAAAGAAGCGCTGGTAAACGTTAGTAAAAAGGCGAATGAGCGGCACTTTAGAAGGCGTTGTCTGGAAAAGCGGACAGTATAACCTTGGATACAATGGGAGTAGTGGAACTCGGGCGACAGATACTGGGGTCAGATGAAAACGGGTGAGTAGAAATGGTGGAATAACCCAAGGAAAGGGCGTCGTGATGGGGAGAGAGGATGCACAGACGGTCGTAGTTCCTTAGTTTGAGACTCATATTGGAAAGGAAGTGCGGGTATTAGTTGTGATAGACCAGTTGTAATCAGATGTGGAACTCTGGTGCGCAGCTATCAAGGGTAGAAAGATGAGACGGAAAGGAATTGGGGGGGAAGGCACAAACCCACATTTTGAATCGGAAATAATGGATATGGGTGAAGCATAGGATAGAGACAAGCTCGCTTGACTGCTGTGTGGCTGCCTTACTGGTCGATACTTCCGAAACAGAGGACGTGTCAGTATTGTTTGACAGCGTCTGGCCCCTATTGAGCAGATTATCTGATTAGCGTGAACGTTTTCACATGTGATTCTGGCAGGCAGTGGCACAACCAATTTGAGGTGTTTGCTCTGATAGTGTAATGGTTGTCCAGTCGTACTGGAACTGCATTCCAGTTCACTCAACTTTTGCCCACAAGCAACATCTGATTTTCCCAAAGTAGGCTTCCCGTGCTTGCTCGGTCCAAGGTACGCCGGTGACTAAATCATATTGCTACGCTTAAAGTGAACATCAAACACATTGTAAACTGCCTCTTGATTGTTCTGTACTGTAAATGCTAACCGTTCTACCCAGAACACCGCTGGAAATTTAATCAGGGAAAAGGCTCTTTTTCCTCAAAGCCAGTAGTCACCCGTGAGACGATGCTTTTGACTAACCGAGTTGCAGTTATAAGACATTTGGATTGTAAAGTATTTCGCCTGACTTGACCTACGCACACTGCTTATGCTACTCCGCATTACTGAATCCGTCCAATTGTACCCGATTTCTCATTACGGATGTCCACTCTCGTAAACAACCTATTTGTCTTGCAACAGCACTTTGGAATTCGGACACTATACTCAGAATATCAGCTTTTTTCAGAGACAGAAGTAAGCAGTAGGTTCAAAAGTATATTTACACTTTCTTGCACCACGCCCATCAATGTGCTGTGCAAACGGCCCCCCGAAATGTTTGAGCGATCTGCAGGAGCTTTCCACCTACTAGTTGGTCCTCAGTACATTGCTCCGATTCCGAACTGCTTGTTTGCGGGATAAATTGCTTGTTCAGTTCTCGAAAGGTCATGGCAATGCGTCTAGACTGAATATCGACGGAGCGAATGGAATGGTGCCAAACGTAACGAGCCGGTCCAAACACGACAACGAGGCTGCGTCGAGGCAACTGGACTCGAACAGCCACGTCACTTGATGACTGTAATAACAGACAGAGAAAGGTGAGAGGTAAAATAGGTAAGAGGTATAAAATAGTGCAGAGAACAGTCGACTGAGAAAATCTTCAGGATGACAGAATGCTAGTGGTGCGAAGTTTCCGGAGATGAGTGATTAACACCGAATGGTTTCAGGGTTTCCAGAATAACCCAGTGTATTTGGCTATTAACCCAGTGTGAAAAAAAACTTGGCTTTAGCGGGAGACCCAGTTGAAATGCTCGTTTATAATATCCTCCAAGTGAATTTCCTCAAGGAGCTTGTCCAATGTTTCAGTTGTTACGATATCAAGATATCGGGTGCGAAGTTTCCGGAGATGAGTGATTAACACCGAATGGTTTCAGGGTTTCCAGAATAACCCAGTGTATTTGGCTATTAACCCAGTGTGAAAAAAAACTTGGCTTTAGCGGGAGACCCAGTTGAAATGCTCGTTTATAATATCCTCCAAGTGAATTTCCTCAAGGAGCTTGTCCAATGTTTCAGTTGTTACGATATTCAAGATATCGCAGTAGACTGTCTAGACGAAACGCACTACTCGTAATAGTGCTGAAAACTCTTCGACAACCCATGGCCGGCTTTGCCCTTCTTTTGGCTCATCAAGAAGGCGTAGTAAGTCTGCGTCAACGTTATGTTTCAGCTGAACCCAAATTGTACACAACCTGCGGAGTACACTTATTTACAAACGAACTCGGTTTCGAAGTCGAGACACAACTGAGTTCCATTTGAATCGCTCGTTTATGGGACGGTATTTGTGTAGCACAAACGAGGGATTCAGTTGAATCTCCACCGTTAAAGCCAGGTTCCTCTGCAAACGAGTATAGTTCGTCCACAGTTGAACATAAAGTTGACGGAAGCTCAGGCTTCTGAGTAATGTGCCGAGATACTGGTGTGATGTTCATAATAGGCTGTATAAAGGTAGCGCATTTGGCTCAAAGTTGTCTTCGAGCTTCTAAAAACCTACGAAATCTTCCAAGTCACAATAACACGGCGTTAAGGACAACGAACCAAGCGCAATTTCTTCCTAAAACATGGACCTCATGAACAGGTCCATACTTTTCCACCTACGGATATGACAGATAAAACAAGATAAGGCTGACAAAATCGTCAGATTTCCCCTGAATATGAGCGTCATTAAAACCCGACCTCTGGAATAGGGGTTAGCGAACCTAAGAAACACCTATTCCGTTTTCGATAATAAAAAAATAAACGCGAGCTATGATGCGCAACAAGCTCGGGAGTGCGAAGTGCTGACGAACCCACCATGAGTTGAATGCTACATAGTTCAAACGCCCAATATGTTGCTCAACCCCTACCTAATGAGTACATGCCATATCGTGCGATGCCTAGCGGGCTGTTACAAATGAGTCAGAATACATAGATCGTATGCGAACGACGCTTAGTAGATGTAGAAACCTGATACCGACCAGTTCATGGATACATGAATCTCCAATCTGAAGCGTTTGGTGAGAACGACGGCTATTCCTTCGTTGTTACTACTACACCACAACTTGAAAGGGCTTTAGGGTTGGAGCACATGATTTGTTGAGACCCAGCTCGGGCTTTCACGCTAAAATAATGGAATATTTGTTGGGACTCACCGTTAAAAATACAGACTTAAATGCCTAAAGAAAAATCAAAATATCAAGTGGTTCCAAATGATGGACCCTTCTAATAATCAGTGGTTCACGCCTTAGCCTTTTTTCAGCCTCCATTTTGATCTCAAGGTACGTGTGATAAGTTATTTTATCAGTCTTTGACGTTTTCATGAGAGGACGAGGCCTACTGATGTAGAAGTAATACGTCACTGTGAAGATGGAGCTGATGAACAAATAGACTGCTTAGCAGGAGGTGATGCAACCGAGGTTAAGTCCGGTTCACCAACTGTATCCGATTTTACATCACATACAGAATGACCAAACTGGACTGCACTTCGATACGAAAAGCAAATATCAGCATTGCAGCACTTCAAACAATATAAGGTTGAAATTGAATCCGGAATTGTTGAGTGAACTAGAACATTTTCTGGGCATTTAGGGCCAATAAGTAAAGAGAACTTCAAGTAGATACTCCCGCTCTCTGTAATTCCACGATACTTAGGTACACAGTCAAACTTCTTTATCGTTCTTGGCTGAAGCATAAACATATTAACTGGAAACAATCAACAAAACAACAAAAGCCATGATACTCCATGCTACGCAATTTCTTGAAGGCTTAAATGAACGTCGGGATTTCTATTCAGTTCGGCAACCTCAAGTGGTCAGTGTACTCTTAAAGTTCTGACAGTGCATGTTTACAGACCGTAGTCAAGTGCCCTGCAAACGAACTTAATTAGGAGAAACGAAGTGGTGCACGTTCAACGACTGATAAGTTGCAAACAGGCGGTCCTTGTCGGCTTTACATCGCAACGTCAGCGTACGGCTCCCACACACCTGAATGCTTCCTTAGCGAATAGGTCATATCCGTTTCCGGCAAACTATCGGTAGTGCTGAATTTGTGGACCAACTCTGATTCGGAATAGGTAAACTGAGAACATATTCACATCGTTTGTTTGAACTGCCTTATTGAGTGATGAATTATGAACCAGAATCCCAGAGCTTCGACAATCTGTGCTTAGGGTGATCCTGATGCTGTTGAATAGATTAGGTAGACACAGGGCATCAAGCAACAGCCTAATTTCGACAAACGTCGATTGAATGCCTGGTTTACAGCTGAAAAACGGAGCTGAACTTTGGACATACGGAATCCCAAGCTAACCTGACCTACCAAACGGGATGTGCACATGCGGATTATCTCAACTCGAAAACACCGAATACACAACTATACCGCAATCTACGAACACTCGCTGCCAGGCGACCTTGGTTCCAAATGCATAACTAATTCTGCTGTGGATTGATCGCTCCATCCTGAAAGTTGCTCATGCGACCGAAAACGTTAGTAATCTACGTCAAAGGTATCCTAAATAAATAAATAAATCGTTCACCTGTAACACCTTTCTGGGGCCTAGATACCATGTCGTCCGAAGGAAGCACGAGGGCTGGGATACTGCCAACTTGCCCAAGCCCAGACAGGGGAAGTCGAGAGGCAGAGGTTGGGTTCGAACCACAGACCTCCCGGTCAGTAAATTCGCGCTCTTACCACTTGAGCTATCTCGCCCCCCTCCCAAGGGTATCCAAACTTTGTTAACCATGAGTTGGTCTGCTATTTTCATAGAACCTCCAGTTCGGGACAAAATTACATAGTGGGACGGCTGAAGGACGACCGCAACTTCATGGTGATCGCTTACGACCGGTCCCGTTATTTTACCCTTGAGCTACTATATGAAAAGTCTTCATCTTCGTAACATGATGAATACGGTAAATCAGACCACACGCTATCAACTGCATTGCCTTTCTCAAAATTAATAGGCAAGTGTCAGTTGACAACTTCCACTGCAGAGCCCACCTACCGTAGTCACTGTCTTCGAACGTTCCCTGCAGCCGACGCCGTGGGGCGAAAGAGAGCATCAAGATGATGAACTACATCGTTTCAGAGAGGTTTGGTAAACAATCGGTGGATTTATTGTTTAGCAAACCTCTCTGAAACGACGACTACCCAATCGGTCCCAAACATTTTCCGATTGAATGACAAGCTACACTTCCAAAACTGCGTAGGCGCCAATTAATACTGTGCATATAAACACACCAACAGACGTCTCCACAAGCATGGTTCGCAAAATCGTGGTTAAATCTCATGAGGGCTGAACCGCAAACTACATAAATCAGAACCAATACTTTGAAGGAAAGCAAAAAACTAGCCGTTTCGGATCAAACAACCGACCTCACAATAAAACAGGAGTTCAGATGTTTCCTACCACACACTCCTTCCATAGACCATTCCACACCACAGTTGATCCCAGTGGGGCTCAAAATGTACCGCTTTCGTAGTTTGTGGGTGAGCTATGAACGGATACCGACTTATAGCGTTTAGAACGGATCAGAGATACACACTATCAAATACATCATTGAATTCAAATGTCAACTAACGTCTAAACACATTCAGCATTGAAGCCGGGTGGACCTGAATATCATGTCTTGAACATGGGGGGAGTGAGTTACAATAAGTAGCTCATCTGATAAAGCCCTCCCCCCCCCTCCCGCCGAAAGAGCCGAAATGATGAAACAGTTGACCTTTCGATTTATTTTCTGACTCGTGGCCAAATTAGAAGACGTACTAGTCAGATGTTTGACCTTTTCTGTCCTGATGACAATAATCCGACTGATACAAATCAACGGGACAATTCGGTTGAGAAATTTATCATAGTTTATTAGTCGCGCACCGGCCCAGAACAACGATAACATCCCGAGCGCGACAAATAAACTTGCTAGGTTTATTGTAAATGACTCCTACGAAACGATGAGCTGGGCTCGTGAATATTCAAGATCTGGCTGTCAAAGCCACCAAAGAACCAAGTCAGCTTGATACAGATGGCTCTACTGTCCCAATTCCAGCAATGGACACCATAGAGTGGATAACAAGATGGACTACACGTGTACATGAGAGGTGATAAGCCGCGAAACATTTAAACTAGATGTAGGGGGGAGACAGCAGAAGTGTGTTGTGTTCCGCAAACCGATCAAGAAAAAGTTTCAGCAGGCACCAACAGAGTCTCGATTTGCGAAGGGAAAACATGGGTTTTATCTGTACGCATAAAAATCTTGTTGGCCGTCGGTCCCACGTTTCCATTAGTTGATCACATAAGCTCGAATGTGGTCGGTTCATTCCCTGATTAGATCTGCAAGCAAACCGATTGCTGTTCATCTGAACAGCTCCGATTGTTATGTCAAAGCAAGTGGGCGTTGTGGGTTTACCAGCGTTCACTTCTGATGACACACCGTGGAACACTTCGGAGACTGCATGGTAGACACCGATACAAACTTGTACGGTCATTGACTTTGCGATAATCTCATATTTGCATAACCTCATATCCCCACAGCGTGGTAACGGATTGCTTGTTTTGTGGGTATCTTGATAATGTGCCAAAATCCACAAGAAGCACACGCAACCCCAAGTGATTCGGAATTCCCATCCTCTAACCAACTGACCTAGGTCACCAGTCAGACGGCACAGTACAGGGTACCAATCATCATCCTATTCCGAACTTTCGTGCGTGGACCTCATCTGTCACACTACAATCAGAACACATACAACTCCCAAGTTACATAAGACGCTCCACAACTTCCAGCGCCTATCCACCGTTCCATTCAGGTTTATGTGATTCTTCCAGAGGACCAGCTGAACGTTTGCGCAAAGCATGCAGCCTACGGTTTGAGACGATGTTCTCGTGAATAAACCAAGGTTTCGTCGAACAATTTTATACATTTTTTATACACAAATGTTCTGCGGAGTGAAAAAAGAACAGATAAATTTCCCTGATCAAGAAACAGTTCTGGTTCCATGATAAGAGCAGGCGTTTACTTCATAAACCACTGATTTAGGATGTTCTACGGAGTACAGAACATACTAATAAGGCTGTTGAGGATAACAACCCATAACCAGTTTGGTCCTTCTTGGGACTCGTCAAGTGAGCACAAGTCCCAAGTTTCCGTCAAAATTATGTTCTGCTTGAACACTCAGTTACAGGAAATGAATCCCCTTCGCAAAAGACTATACCGTCACCTTACCAGTGGTAGACTTGTGGACGACCGACAGCAGAAAAAAAAGAAACCCAACAAGTGCCAGAAAGAGAACGAAGTGCCCAGAGAACAATCGCAGCAGAAGGACGGGTATGACTTGCTACCTCTTCCAAAAACCCAGTCTGCCAAACTTGATTTCCCGAAATTAGAGTATAAATATAACCATACCGTTACACACTTTCATGGACACCCCGTCATATATATATATATATATAT